GTGAAGTATTTTTCCATAAATAAGAGACAATATCAGCTGTATCCTTTTAATGAAAAAGTTTAGTACTCGTTTTCGATGATGAAATCTGAAATCTCAACTATAGAGATTTATTTTCTGCTCAAAAAATAGGATTGTAGAACAGTTATAAAAAAAATTTTCGTTTTTTAATAAGTTGAATAAATTTGTGCTACTTTAAAAAGATTTTCTTATTGGTTAATCTGATCGATATGAATAACTGTAAAATATATATTATTATTGATAGTTGTCACTTTGATGGACTCTTATTTTCAACAAGACAAGAAAATACAAATATTTATTCTGTAAATAAAAATTATTCTCAGAGATGTTCTTCGTAAAAAACAACAAATATATTTACTTGATTAAACAAATGAAAACGTTTTTTTTGTTTCTGTTGATTGAATATCATTGATATTATTTGCCTTGTTTGATAAAAATCTTTAGATAAAAAAAAAAAATTCAGAAAAATTTAATAAAGTTGTTTTTTTATTTATTTGAAAATATTCAATGAATAAAATTGATTAATAGTTGTCAATTATTAAGTTCATATAATATCAATGAATTAATGTTTAAAGAAAATCTGTAAATGAACGAACTTGCATCATATTGATTATGAAAAAACAAAACGACCGATTTGTTATTCGTCTTAAAACATAAATCGATTAAATATTAAAGTTGATAAACATGATAGTTCATCATTTAATATAATTAGAAAAGTATTTTATTGTTCTTATCGATGATGAATTTAATATATTTATTCATAATACGAATTAGTCATTCGAACTAACTTTTTTATTAGCCATTTATTAACATGGTTAAAAACAACTGTCATTAACAAACATTAACATAACAAGAATTGCTAATAACTAACTTACTCTAATGAAACAAACTTATTAATTAAAATGTTCGAACTATAAATTTCTTCATAGAATTAGTTTATTATAAAAGTGTCGGATTTTCTCGTATCTTTCATCTTCAGAAAAACAAATTTGAAGATTTTTTGATGCAAATAATAAAAGTATCCATTTACTATCTCTACAATATATATACTTAGCAAAATTTGAAACAGTTGCTTGACCAACATATATTGAGATTTCCAAGATAATAGTTTCATTGTCAACATAAGGTCGATATCCTAAACAAAACTGTAAGATCATAAACAGAATGAGAAGAATTATTTCACTAAATGCCAATCGTAAGAGCAACAAGAGTAAAAGCCGAAGCAACCTATATAATAACTTAGTTTATTGTATAGAATCTGAATTAGACTCTTTATAGAATGAATATATTATCTATATAATTAGACGTCTTCGTGACCAGATTTCTATATTCATATTCAGATCCAAGACTTAAATGCAGTTGAAAACATCGATAAAGTTTTAATAATGAAAATTGATAAACGAGTATTGATAGTGATGTTGATCTAGTTAATAGTCATAAATGGAAGAAGTGGATGGACACTAGTTTATTTACTTTTCTCAATGTCAATATCAATACGAATATGGAAATAATGGTGATTATCTACTTTAAAACAGTATGGATACAGATTTTCTTCTTCAACTGTAATTCATTTATTTAAGAATAGTCTTATATAAATGAATATTTATTTAAAAAAAAATTATTTTTGATTATATATTCAACAGTATGATGTTAAATGAAGTGAATTATTTATTGATAGATGAATTAAAATTAACTTCGTCAAATTTCTCTGTCGAAGTTGTAACTTCGATGACGATCATCGTCGAAGTTATAACTTCGTCACGATTGTATGCCGCTTCGCCAAAAAGGGTTTCATAGAAAGGCTCGAGAATATTTCAGACCGTTGCGAGCCCTTTAATTCTTGCATAGAATTGTTAAGTATCACGATATTAATTCATTTCACGCTCACTCTCACCTTTGCAGCGTTCTCCATGGGTAAAAAATGTTTTCGATATGGTCATGTTCGGCGAAGAGCATATATACCAAAATATAGATCGGGGAAAATGTCGAAAACGAGTATTTTAGTGTTCTATATCAGAAAGATGAGAAATTTATCTTATTCAATAGGATTATATATGCCGTATCGAAGTTACACCCGTCGACGAAGTTATAACTTCGTCGTCTCATATTGACGAAGTTATAACTTCGTTGTATAAATGTGACGAAGGTATATATGCTCTTCGCCGAAAATGACAATATCGAAAACATTTTTTATCCATGGAGAACGCTGCAAAGGTGAGAGTGAGCGTGAAATGAATTAATATCGTGATACTTAACAATTCTATGCAAGAATTAAAGGGCTCGCAACGGTCTGAAATATTCTCGAGCCTTTCTATGAAACCCTTTTCGGCGAAGAGGCATACAATCGATATTTTTTGTTTCCATATTTTTTGTTCAACTTCTTTTACGTCGACATTTATTTCAACCGTTTTTTCTTCGACATTTATTTTTCGATGTATTTTTCTTCGATATTTTTTTTCAGTCTTTATCATACATACCGTAGCTGTAGATATCGGCGCCGGATTTTTTTAAACCTACTCAGATACACAAACGCTCTCTTCCGCACTCCGTTTAGTTTTCTAGAGCGCTAAAAGAAAGAAAAGTTTGATTTTATCCTCTTTCGAGCTTTAAATAAAAGCAGTGAAACTCATAATACTTACGTTACGTCCTGAGATCTCTACACAAAACAATTTTTGGTGCCTTCTCTTCAGGAAGGTGTGGACTGAAATATGGTCCCTTACCGGCTTGAGTTGTAACTTTCATCATTCATTTTGTATTTTTTTTTTGTTTTTAACCCATACCCTCTATGGAGGGTTAATAATCAACTTATTTTATGTAAATGAAGGGAAAAATATTTTTTTTATTTGTTAAATATTACATTGTCTTTTTCATTAGTTCGATGTTCTTTTCTATAGCTTTAATATTGGGATGATTCGGAGGTAGTGATTGTTTCGAAATATCTAGAGCATGTTCCATATATAAGAGTGCTTTCGAGAACTCTCCCGTATCATGATACAATCCAGCGATGTTGTTGTAGGAAACAGCTAAAGAATAATGGTTTGGAGGAAGATATTTTCGTCGAATTTCAAGTGATTTTTCGTAAAATGAAAGTGCTTTTGAATAGTCTTTCATAGCTTGATACAACAAGCCAATGTTATTATAGGAAGTTGCCAAAGTGGAATAATTGGGAGACAGAGATTTTTGTAGAATTTCAACTGCTTTTTCGTAAAACGAAAGTGCTTTCGAGAACTCTCTGATTTTGTAATATAATCCAGCGATGTTATTGTAGGCAGTAGCGAAATCAGGATGATCTGAAGGAAGAGTTTTTTCACAGATTTCAATATCTTTTTCATAAAATGAAAGTGCTTGCGAGTAGTTTCTCATATTTTCGTATAGTGAACCAATGTTATTGTAGGAAGTAGCTAAGCTCGGATGATTTGGAGGCAATGTTGTTTTCTTAATTTCAAGTGCTTTTTCGTGAAACGAAAGTGCTTTTGAATATTCTCCCATGTTTTTATAAAGCTCACCGATGTTGTTGTAGCAAGTAGCCAAAGAACGATCATTTGATGGAAGAGTTTTTTCTCGAATTTCCAGCTCTTTTTTAAGGAAGATAAGTGCTTTTGAATGTTCTCCTATATTTATATAAACCAAACCGATATTACTATAGGAAGTTGCCAAATCATGATGATTTGGTGGAAGAATTTTCTGTCGAATTTCAAGTGCTTTTACATAGTAAAGAAGAGCATTCGTATTATCACCTTGTTGATATTTGATATATCCAAGATTATTATAGCAAGATGCTTTATCACTATTGTTGGATGCTTGTTCAAGGAGTACATTGTAGAGGTCTTGAGCTTTATTAAATTGACCTATTTTAACCAGCAAATTACCTAGTCGTATCCATCCTGTTTCACCTCCAGATTCCTTTCGTATTTGATCGGTAAGAGTGCGAAGTTGTTGATCATCATCTGATGTGAGTGTAAGATTCACTTGATAAAGTGGTTTGTTACTGTCCATTTGTTTAATTTGACCAATACGAAAGACAGTATGCATGGAGAAGAGAATTTCTTCTTCTGTCTTGAAAAAACTAATATCCTGAATGGAGGCGAATGGAATCGTTGTGATGAAAGGATTAATGGACATTTCAAATAGGATGCCAACCATGTCAGTTTTTGCCAAAGCACCTTTAGCGAAGCGGAGGGAAACTTCACGAAGTTTACTGGTGGACAAGAAGTTATTAAAAGACATAAGGCCACCATTTGTTTTCAGAAGTTTTTCAAAGTCTGCCTTATATAATCCTTGCCCACGGTATACTAAAAACGGTTGTCCATAATAACTACTGACCTGCTTTTTGTGTAATTCGTCAATTTGTTGATGAAGATTACGAAGAAAGAAGCCCATAATGATAATGGTGTCAACTTCCAACGTTCGAAGTGCTCGATTGAGCATTTGGTACGTAAAGCATTGGCGTGTATACCACCAGATTGATAGGTGTGGACGATAATTATGTTGAAATTCATCAATAATATTTAATTGACCTATATTGTCACGATACAATTCACGGCAGTATACTGCTAATGTCTTGATGGATTCATTGCTGTATTCCATTTCAAAGAGAATTTCCTTGAATATTTGAGTGTACATGAACGAGGGCTCTAGTTGATCCAGATTTTGGCTGGAAACTCCTTCACTGGCCGTGACAAAACTTACTGTGACAGAATCTTGATTCAACTGTTTTACAGCCAGTTGTAATGCTTCACATACGGGCTCAATTTCTGTATGTATACCCTTAATTTTAGCCCATTCCTTTGTCCATTGTTCGTGTCGAGATTTATTGCCACAGAAGATGTAAATAGCATCTATCTGTGATAGGGCATGGATGTCGGGAACCAAATGTTGACCTAATGATCCTGAGGCGATGACAAAAGCTTTTTCGTCATTAATATGATTGAGAAACTGGATACATCGATCTGGTTGCGTGAAAATATGCACCTCATTAACGATATTTTGCAGTTGTGCCAGAATGTCTTTGCAGTGCTTCTTCGTTTTGTCAATACTTGCATCCACCCAGATAAGAAGGTAATTTTGGGCCATACGATGTCTTGGATGAATGCCACTAGACGATGCTGTTGTGGTTGTAATAACACTATTGGAATTTGTTTCAGCCATACTGCATGTAAATCGATGATGAAAGGTTGATTGCCTGTGTTTTGTTAAGTGAATAAAGAATGATGAAAAAGGAAAATAGGCTTTCTCATTTATACGACGATGAGTTCTTTTATTTGGATATTTTTATGGCGTGAGCTTATATCTTTATGTTTATGGTTATTACTCATATCAGTGCTTTACTCTTACGTAGTACGGAGTCCATGAATGTAATGCTCTTTAACAAGAAGCATTTCATCAAAAGACTCACAGGATGGTTTAGACTGTTGCAAGCACTTGAACTTTAATACAAGTTTGTTAAGCATCATAAGGTGAACTCATTTTGTCTTCACCGCTGGAACCCTCTTCTTAGCCAAAAAGTACTTTCATCGAAGTGTGCTTTGGCGAACAGCATACATACACAATCGATGTCATAAAGAAAGGTGAGTATTACAATAAAGAAATCATCTTTTCCGTTCCAGCTTTTTTGTGAAATAAGAGACCATATTCTCAGTTCAAAGCAGAATCATTTTGCATTTTATATCATCCAACCAAAATTAGAAGAGATCGAAAATCGACGAAAAATATCTATAGATACAAGTTTGGTAGACGTAGCTGATAACGAGAGGGTGTGGGTGTGGGGTGTGGGTGTGAGTGTGTGGGTGTGGGGTGTGGGTGTGAGTGTGTGGGTGTGGGGTGTGGG